GACCAAGCCCTCTGTGAAAAGGACCAAACACATACCAAAAGCATGGTCCAAGCATGAATGTGCATTATAAGACTTTTTTATTATTATTATTATTTTAAAGACGGACATAACAAACCCAACAGATTTCCTTCTGCATTTTTAATAGGTTACTGCTGAGCACGAACCACCTTGGGATAAACATCACAGCAAAGATAACTCACTTTATCTTCACTGTGATGTAGCATAATGACGACTTTACTCGGTAAAGCTCTTTGCAGTGGGAAAAAGATTTTTTCCCCAGCAGAGTATTTATTATCCCAAATTATAGGATATATTTCTGGTGCAATTTTACTGCTTTAATTTTATCATTTTCCCTTTGTAGTCACTTTCTCTGGGGGAAAACACCTGCCTGCACTGCTAGAAAGGGAGCACTGTAATTGAAAAAGGGGCATCATCAGCCCCTCGATGATTAAAGTTAACCTTTTCCCAGTGCAACCACACTAGCACGGACGTTTGTGTGAAGCAGATGGATTTGCCAACCTCTTGGGCTGAAGTTTAATTTCGAATATTTTTGCTTGTCTATAACTTTTGCCCGCAATGGCAAATGTTCATGGGACTGGATCTACACCGGGTTGCAGTCCTGAAGTTGGAATGAAGGTCTGAGCCTTGGATTTATGCTTGAAGCCGGTTTTCACAGCTGCAGCTACTAGAGAAACCAGACCCAGTCTTCTGCGAAGCACAGAAATACAGGCTGAATATAAGGAGTTGATTTAATTCCTTATCCATTCATTATATACTAAATCATGCCGGGAGTGAGAAGTGGAGGACGATGCATCACCTGCTTTGAAAGACCGTGTGATTCCCAGGGAGAGCACAGCGCCTGGGCATGGTCGGGGCAGGCAGAGTACAAATCCCTATCTCATCCAGAGACAAAGTGCAAGGTGTTGTAGTGCTAATGGCCACATTTTATCTCAGCAGAAAATAAATTTTGTTGCTAAAATCAGAGTATTTAGGCAATCTGGGACATGGACTGCTAGCATAAAAACTCATTTTAAGAAGCACTATGGTACTGGCAGCGACCATCTCAAGCAATGGTGCACGTCAACTGAATCTAAAGGTTTTCAAATGAAATCTAACGCAAAGTGCATCTGCAGGGAGAGGTGTGCAGGGTCTGGCCAAGCATGAGCTTTTGGTCCCCCCAGGAGGACATGGGAAGGAGCAGCCACCCACTTTCTTTGCAGGGGGCTCCAGGAAACATGGGGTGTCCTGGCAAATATTAGCTAAGAAAACATGTTTTGGCTGACATCTGGCTCTGGATATAGTGCCTAAATATCAGCATTTTCCATGACTGCTTCATGGCAGGGAAAAATGAAACTAATCTTTTTTGTTGCACTATAATAAAAATAACTTTCTCCAGGACTCTGGGGGAGAGGGGCCATCTATTAAAGAAAAACCTATTGACTACAGTACAAAAACACCACCACAATCTCCTAGCAGGCCTTAGCTACCTGGCACACCAAAGTTAAATGCAAAGTGCCTTTAAATATCCTAAACTTGCATTTGTACAGAGTAGTCACTGACCACCCCAGATGTTTAGAGATGCTATAAATCGAAGGAATAGGATTAACAGCCAAGAAGCTTCAGCAGAAAAAAAATTCTTGCACAAAATTAACCCAGCCTTAGCTAGTCAAGAATGCCACTTTTTAAACTAAGGGATTTAAAGATTATGAGAGGATTTGTACCCATCTGTCACTTTTGGCCTGCTTTCATTTTATAAAGCTTCCTTAGTCAAACTTCACTAAAAATCTTGTCAACATTTGACTATTTTTAGATGAACTAATTTTATTTGGTAGCTCTGATATACTGATTTCCTAAAGGGAAAGATTTACAAAAAGAGGCATTAGGATTTCAAGTCCATTGAAGCTGCACGTTATTAATATTGCATGCTGCTAGAAAGGCCAAATTAACATGCAAAATTGTACCAGAAGCCCAAGCCATTTTAGTGCAGTTCTATTTTATTCTGGCAAATGGATGCAGCTGAATTCTACCCACTTTGGGAGACAGCCCTGGGGTGAAGGGAGTTAGCTGGGGGTGAAGACTGCGAACCCTTGGAAAATGGCCCTTCCAGGAGGGATGGGAAAGGTTTCCTGGATGGAAAAGTCTGTTCCCTTGCTGTAGAAGTGCTCCCCTACATGCAGCACCCTGTTACAATCGGCTGCTGACCCCTTGTAACATGTACCTTAAACATTTGACTTTCTAGTTTCCCTGGCTGACATGTAGCAGAACTCCAGCTGCTCATGATTAAACCCTTGACAGTGCTCTCTGGGATGGGTTTTGTTGATGTCTCATGTAGTCCCCTGCCAGACAAAGTTGTATTTTCCCCTTACATCACAATCATTTTTATTTTCATAATTCTGATTTTTAAAGATAGCTTTCTTCATTTTGTGTGTATCACCAGCAGCTTGATCTTCTCATTGAACTGACTTCGATATGGAAAAACACTAATAAGAAGAAAAATGTCACCAACACAACTGCTCGAGCACTGAATAGCTGGAGCGCTCGGGATCACGAACAGCTGCTGCAATTATATTTAACTGCCCATTTTCTGTGCTTTGCTCACAATCAGATCTTAGTTCAAGAGCAGGTAGCAGCATTTCTGCTTTTGTAGTAAACAAGTGACATGATTAGAATGATGAGTGGGCTCCATTTCCATGTTTTAATCTCTAGAGGTGTCTCTACCTGATTGGGAAGCTGAAATTTTGGCTTATTTACAGTGAGCTGCGCTCTCTGTTCTGAATGTGTGTATATGCTGGGACTCCCCTAAACTAGTTATTTATGTAGCTTCTCATTTCCACATGATTGTTTTATTGCATGATATAAATCCCCAAATGTGTGTTTCGAGCAGTTCTAATCTTTTATTTTCTCTGTACAAACATGCAGTTTTCAATAAAGGAAAATGCTTGCTTTTTCTTCTGACAGGAGTCAGTAATTTCCTCCACTGCATTTTTTCCTTCCTAACAAACTTTTATCAATCAAAATGACTGGAGAGATGAAGTGACCAGACCAGGGAAAAAGATTTACATGATTCATTGGACTGGTAAATTCTGCATTAAAAAAGATAAACAGAAGCAACAGAAAGCAACAACTTTCAAAGCTTGTTTTTTATGCATCATTAAAAACAGGCCATATGTGATTAAACAAATATCCTGTGCCCTCATCTTAACTCTGCTGTCCTTCAAGAACTCATATGACTCCGAGCTCCTTAAGTACATGACGTGTAGTCTGCAAATGGCACCGTACAGGGCTCGAGAGCATTCAAGATCAAAGCAGTTTAAGAGAATCAGGCTTATTTATTGGGTGAGCGCGTGAATATAATTGATATAGTAATAGAGCATTGTAATTACTTGAATTTACTAAAGGTCACAGCCCTGCAAGTACCCAGAACGTGCAGTCTGCAAATGGCATTTTAAGTTGCTCGAGCGCCTTCGAGATCAAAGGATCTTAAGAGAATCATATTGCTAGTGAGTGGGAGTCTGAGTAGGAGTCTGAACAAAGTTGCTAAGTAGTTTGAGCATTTTAAGTACTTCAGGGCACTGCAGCATGAGTACAAAGTAATAGGACAAAATAACACCAGCTTGTCAGTGCTTGGTTTTCCAGAGCTGGACTAGTGATGAGAAACTCAGATGATGGTAATTTTAGCAGGGTGCCACCTAACCAAACAAAAGAGTCATCCGCTTGGGCTGGTGTCTGGCAAACACAATCCAAACAGGATGAAAAACCCAGTTATGAGTTTGAGGCTTCTGCCTAAAACAGCTGGAAGGAAAACGTGGAGCTGAGCTCAGCACGGTTCCCCAAGGGCACCACAGTGCCAGGTACAGTCAGGGGAATAACAGACAAGAAAGTGCCACTAGGGATCAAGAAAAACCCCCAAATGGGGACATGCTAAGTATAAACTCTCTTTTATACTACAAGGCTGCCCGAGGCTGGTTGGTAGGGCTGCGGATCAAAGGAGATGAGTGTTGCAGCTCTCAGCCACAAGTGGTTAAAGTGGAGAAACAGAGAGCAGCATCTTTCAGAGAGAGCTAAGAAACAAAGGATGCTGAGAGATGTGCTACTGAGGGGAGTGCAGTGAGCCAGGCATGCACACACCTGGCGTGGAAACACGTGGCTTGTCCGTACAGACCTCCGTACGCACTGCCAGTCCACTTGTTGCCGTGAATACTAATTCAGCAGTAAAATAATGAACTGTTCTTTTTGTTTGATTCTTTCTTTACAAGGTTGCATAGTTAATTTCAATTTATTTAAACACCAAGAAACTTGGTAAGATTCAGGGGATAGGCATGTAGCATATATTGGTGGCTAATTTTGGAAGATCTGTGAAAAACATCAAGAGCATCTCTTTTTTTCTCTGTAACGGTAAAGACGACCATGCATCAGCACAACTCTGTGATGGTTCTAAAAGCTGGAAGACATTTCTAACTACTTTAAACCAAAATGCTAGTAAAAAGTATTAGCTATAAGTAAGAAAATCTCCAAATTATTAAGACGTAAATATCAAAACTGAAAACCTCTGTAACTGCACTGTTAAAATGCCTCCAACACTCTACAAATTATCTGGTTTTGGCCATCAGCATGCATCATGTCACATTTAAAAATCAGACTCTGTGACTGTCCAGTACACTCTCAGCTAAGTGAGCCCCTGAAATAAGTTAGCAGTAAAGGAGAAAACAGCAGAAATCAGGTCGCACCACTTGCAGAGACAATCAACATCAGTGCATTACAAAAGACAAAGAGTTGTTAGAAAAATAACTGTCCTTTCAGCTAGTTAGTATTCAATCACTGAAGTGGAAAATCTTCTGTCTCAACTTGATTTTAGGAGAAAGAAATATTTTACTGAGTCACCTTACACCTTTGAGGACAAAGTTCAATTTGCTGGTACAAGCACTAGTATTCAGGAGAAAGACTGAAAGTGAGCAATTTCTTTTCAGTAAAATGTAACTTAGAAAGAAACACAAATATACCTGCTTCATCATAGGATACAGTCAATTTTTCCAGCATTTCTCGATCAATTGATAAAATCTGCTGTTCCAGGATGGTTTGGTAAGACAGCACACTGTTCTCCTTGTCTTTCTCATAGTCTTGAAGATGTTGTTTTAGGACTTCAGGCAGACGGGACTTCACATATTCTGCTGCCGACTATGTAGAAAAGAGGCAAAGGTTTAATTAATACATTTTCTTTTGAAAAGCTTTATGCCTACCCATAGCAAATTTTTTTTTCTTTTAAATTTAAAGCTTTCTCAAATGTAACTCCTCACAATAAAACACTCTTAATGCTACTAACTCCATGGTGCAAAATCCACAGGTCATTTATCTGCCAAAATGACCCCTGCCCACCCAAAAATTCCAGATCGTTGGGGATATAATGAACGAAATTCCCGAGCTGAAGCATAACCACTCTTCGGCAGGGAGTTTATGGCAGTCCAGAAAGAGTTACCCATGCTGGACTAGACACATACATACCACAACAGCTCAACTTCTTCATTGTTAACATATTCTGAAAATATAACTACGAAATATGTCATCCTTATTCTAAATTTTAAAGTACAAAGTGACAGAGTGGAATCACTTCACCTGCTATTGATATCGAACCAGGCTCAGATAGGGAGATAGAAGTGAATGTTAACAGCATTAAAAAATGACATACATACATACATATACATGCACATCCACACATGGAAAATTCTTTAAAATTTTTTTCTCTGACTGCTCAAGGCCATAAGAAAACAGAAATTAACACAAGGTGGCATGGTTGTACCAATGTTATGGAGCCTTGTGTAAAAAAGTGCATGGTAGTAACTAATAAGAGCATCTGCCTCTGGAGAGGTGTTGGTGCTGCCAGGATCCCTGCCACCACTGGAACAGGTCTCTCCCTCGGGGTTTGGGCTCAGACACCTTGGTGAGACCCAAACACAAACCAGCTTTCTGCTTTTTAAGCATTGGCATCCCTCTCTTGCAAGTATTACACTCCCACTTAAGAGGGACTAGAAAGTCCCTTTTTCTGGCATGGTTTTGGGCTGTTTTGGGGTTTTTTTGCTTTCCATCTCTGATACAAATGTAACTGGAAAAGGAAGATGTAGCAAAGGCTGCTGCCCAGTGCTCCAGCTTTCCTGCCAACCTCAAGACCAAAGGAAAAAAAAATGATAACAAGGTTGTATTATTTCAGGCCTGGAACTGACCAGAAGTTACCTCTACTCAGCAACAGGCTCTTCCTGGGTTTATATTTAGTTTTCCAAAGTCAATTGCTGATTAAATTGCAACCTTAAAATATCATTGGAGTTGTGTTCAATTTTTCTGCAAGCTAAGCCATGTGAGACGAATGAAATTATTCTAGGAAAACGAAACAAACTCTCCACATGAGTACAGCATATTTAATGTTACATTTTAATAGTGGTTTTCTTCCAAGGGAAGGCCAAAAGATACGCTGTATACTAATTATTTTAGTCCAAGTTCAGGCATTTGTGTTTAATGTTTCCTTTGAGAAGAGGTTTTACTCTGCAGGGGGCTATTTTTGTGCTCTCCCTAAGGCAGCAATTCTGAAGACCAGAAAACAAAACAAGAATTTATACATACTCATTTTCTGAAATACATCTTGTGCAGCTGAGTGAATATTTGCATACTACTCGCTATAAATACATAAGGAAAAATACCCATGCTGTCCCGAAGATCTTACAGCTCAAGTAAAAATCAAGAGACAGATGGGTACAAGCAGATGGGAAAACCATTGAGACCATCAGCTGTGGTTGGCGTGACGGACAGCCATCGCGAGCCACATGCAGCCCAATTGTCAAGTCTTTCCATAGGCATCGAGGCCGAGGATTACACCGATCTCAAGTGTGATCTCACAGGTGGGAATTTTTCCCCCACAGTGAGAAGCAAAACCCAACACTCTTGCTTAGTCCACTGCCTTTCACATTATATCTAGATGTCATTAAAAATTTAAACTGTAAAGCAATGATGAAACCAATACAAACTCCTCTCCTTTTCTAGCAAGAAAGGTGATCAGCCACATCTGAGTAATTACACCCCTAGCTGCACTGCACCAATGAGATGGATAGTACTATATTTTATTCAGTACAAAAGTAATTTTATCTAGGTTTTAAAAAGTCACTCCAGTACCTGGAACATTAAAAAAGAAAAAGTGTAAGGGTGTGAGTGCATGTGTTTATGCATGTGCTTGGTATTAAAGAAACCAAGAAGCTAACTGTACCGGGTGAATAAAAATTAAACAACATTTTAAAAAGAAAGACTTCCACCATTTCCACGCTCTTCCATCTTACCTCAATTCTCATTGCACAGACCACAGTATTCAACATCTGAGTAGATCACAAACTTCCCCTGTGTGTATCCCTTACCGATTTCGGCGCAGACCGCAGCCCAGAGACCCCTTTGCGGGATGCTGCTCACGGGCAGCCCGCTGGCAGAGCATCCCACCACTCCGGCCAGCCTGCCGGCAGCTCAGCCGCTTATCCTCCAGCCAGCACTGGGGTTCCCCCGCTCTCACGAAATCTATTTTCATTAATATATGTATTTGTGTCACAGGCGGAAGTTAGGGGGAAAAACTCATTTCACTACTTTGAGGCTTCAAAATAGCTTTATCCTCTTTTCCTCTGTATGGTCCCTCTAACTCCTGCAGGAAGGAATTACAAACATGGCTGAGGTCAGGTGTTTTCCAGGAGCAGCTATTAGTTATAGGCGTACAACTAATTGTACAATATCTGCTGGTCAGTCTTCCTCATCACCACCCCTACAAGAAAGCAGCTTGGAGCCCTAGGCACTGCAGCAGAGAGAAATGCAAAGAAACGGTGGTCCTGCTCATGCAGGCACCTTCCCACAGATCACTGCTTCAAAACAACAACATAACAGAAATAAATGCACACTGCTGAACTGTCACCTCTCTCGGTCACGATAGCCTCCTATTTTCTGGCAGGAATTTATCCATTTCTTTTATAAAACTGAAACTGCAGCATCCCCTGTGAATCTGTTTTCAGTCTGAAGCACTCTTCTCCAAATTAAATAAAGGATTGACTTTAATACCTATAATTGACTTTAAGGTATTTCATCCTACCATGGAAAAATAGTATTTCATATGTATAGAATCAATTTTAAAATATCTACATACAATGAAATATACTTGCAGAGCTTATTCACAAAACCCCCACATGTTTCTCTATTCACTAAAAAAAAATCCCCTACATAAAAATCGCATCAGGAACTGCTGAAATCCCTCACTGTGTAGTAACCTGAACCTTAAATGCAGCCAGCATCCTTCTGTAACTACCAGATTTGCCCACATTTTTTAATTGATGAGAAATATATATACCCAAAGTAAATTTTCTTTTTATAAATTATGCTAACCGCCTGCTAAAATTTGCTCTGCTTTTCTGAAGTTTATCTTTCTGGGAGCTCCTTTGTACGTGGGGAAGTAAAGGTCTAAAATGGTTAATTAAAGGCTTCTTTATGAACCTACTTCAAAAGTCAAGTGGCGGCTTGGCAAAGCAGTCTCCTTACACAGCTATATTGGGCAATTTTGGAAAGGCTTTCAACACACGGTAGAGTACTTGGTGTGTGGAAAACCACCACACTCACAAGGGACAGTTGCATCCTTGCTCATCCTCATCACATTCTGCAGGCTGCTACAGCTCAACACATCCCACAGCCTGGCTTCACCAACCCAGCTGACCTTTAAAATTCAGGTTTTCACCAAAGCAAATGCAGGGACCTTGCATATTTCTGGCACTGGAAACACTCAAGCAGGACTCATTAAATTGTGTTATCGGCTGATAAACACCAGTCAGTGGAAAACCCTCTCCAAGTGGCGATGCCCTGGGAATCTGCTTGCTTTTCGCCCCGTGGTGGAGTTGGGTAGGAGGAGCAGGACGGCAGAGCTTCAGGGCTGGCTCCCGAACTGCGCGTCTCTCCACGCAAATACTTGTACACAGAGAAGATACACCTCCATGGGCATAAGTGTAAACATGCAGGAAGCGACCCCAGTACTCTATGACAAAATGCGTTAATTAAGACAGCAAGTGTTAAGCATCTCCACGACCCCATGAAAAACAAGCACTGCAAACAAGAGCTGTGGGAAGATCAGAACACTGGCACATAAGGCAACTGAAGGATCTAATTAGCTGGAATGGCCATTATTTATAAACACAGATTTCCAATTTAAAAAATGGAAGATGGAGACTTTATTGCCTCAGACCCGCACTCTGCACTGATTCCCATGATTTACAGGGAGAGGAGGAAACCCACAAATTTATGATCTTAATATTCTTGAGACAATTCATTCTGCCTGCCCAGCTACTGCAAACATTCAGAGAGCATGGGAAAATACAGGATCCATTTTAGAGTGTGGTAGTGCTGTTATAGCACGTACACCAATAAAGGGTTTAAAAACCAATCAAGATTCCTCTATCGCATCTTGCTGCCTCTCCTTTTTATGTTTCCCTCCCCTCCAAAGACAGATGGGTCACTACAACAAGTTTACTTCTTCAGAGATGATACACCATGAACTGCTGGGCAAGAACAGAATTCACCTTATGAAAAAGAGGAATTTCAACTTTGCTCGCCTCCTGGTTTACCGCAGGGAAATAATTTTTTAAGTAGGATCAAGTGAGTTTGACAAATAAAAGCCTGAGGTGTGTACAACAAATGAACATGGGTGTAAACCTTGTGGAAAACAGTGTTGGCCATGATAATCTCATGGGAAGGAAACATAACAAAGAGTAAAGTGGGACTGATCTGTGGACCCTATTAGACATCTCTATAAGAACTGCGGAGAATACTCAAAACGAGCTGGAAGGAAATTAGTACAGTATCAAAACTAGAATATAATTGGGCAATAAGAGAGGCTCAGTAAATAATTCACAAGACTAGATTGTTAATACAGATGATATAAGTTACTGAGAAAGGAGGCTTTGGAAATAAAGAAGTGCCCTGCACATCAAGAGAGTATTTGCTCTTCTAGGTCCCGTCTGTAAAAGGGAGACAAACCTGCCAAAAGTCATCACGTAAAAAAGAGAAGCAGAGAGCACTACCGTAGCGCAGGTCCACCACACACTGAATGAAAAATTAAGTAGAGGGGTTGGGGTTTTTTAACCAGGAACTGGAATAATCAACTAAAGCACAAGATGTAA